ATTATTATTATTATTATTATTATTATTATTATTATTATTATTATTATTATTATTATTATTATTATTATTATTATTATTATTAAAAAAGGAAAAGAGCCCACACCAATACACACAAAACAAGCCTAAGCTTCTTACCTTTAATACATCAACCTGATTTCCAAGACCCTTTGTACACATGTCCATGACTGAATAGGAACAGAAAGTATCTCGGATTTTATACTGGCTTACAGTGGAGAGCCACAGGAAAAGATTGGATTCCAACTCCATAGGAGGAATTAAGATGGACTGGTGACCAGAATACACACTGCCAAAAAAATTCACGGATAAGACACCATATCAGTTCCTGGGGACACCTTGCTTTCCTGATACACTAAATTACAATTGGCTTCTGACCACATATTGGACTTTACTAGCTGCACAAAGCAGCAGAGCAATCCACAAACCTGGTCTCCTGACAGTGACCCACCCCTTGCCAACCACTTCTATGCACACTCATGCCCTGCCAGCATTTGAAACGAAGCACTTCCCAGGGACGCTGGCTATAATACGAGGCAACACCCAGCCAAGGGGCTGTACAACAGACCCTGATGCTCCACCATTCTTTGCTGGGAGGTGTAAACCTGCAGCAGAATGTATGGCTCCTTATGAGACCAATGTTTTGATTTACCAGCGCATATGGCTCCATGGGTTCTTTGACCACATTTTATCTGACCCAAGTATTGCCCAGACTTTTCTGGGTCTCCATCAGCTGCAGTGCTGGCAAGGGACAGATCTTGCACATTGGTCAATCACACCCTTTTGGAGCCCAAGAGTTACAAAAGCAGGTTCCAGGCTTGGAACCGCTTATGAACAGCTAGAGACTACATTTTTGCTAGCAGACATTATAATAATGTTTCACAAAGAGTTCACATGTAGAATATCATATGCATAGAATACTTTGACTGGGTAGGCCTATGTCAAGAACCCTTTCCCCTCTGACATGTTTCAGACCTCAACTCCCAGAGGCCCCAGCCAGTATAGCAAATGATAAGGAATGGTGGGAGATGTAGTCTGGAGGTCCAAAGGTCTCCCCATCCAACCCTGTGCAAAGATTCATAGAAAGCAAAAGCCTCTAGTTATCTTTATAAGCAGAAGTGTTATAAAGCAGATCCGCAATTGAACAAGTTGCCTGGGGACTTCTGGGAGTTGTAGTCCAAAAACAGAACTCTTCAATATTTCCAGTTGTAATTAAAAGGGAAATGCTATATATCTAGCTTGTGAACATTTCAGACTTATTGAGAGACAATGAGCTTTGATTTCTGCTTCATTTAAATCAGATTTATGTCACATGCACAGAAACGTTCCAACCCCTGGATGTTGCAATCAGACCCTTCAAGAGCCCAGGCCCAGTGCTCTGGTTTACACCAGTCAAGAAGCTGCCCTTTGCAAATGTACTTGGTCTTCTAATTACATTTTGGGTCTTACCTGCAAAGGCACCAAAGTGCAAAGCCAAGCCCACAATAGGGATCTAGACAGATGGCGATCTGCCGCGTGGAGTACAATTCACACTGGAGTTTTATGGCTCTACAGAGGGCACTGACTGCTGCATGGGACATCTGGAGGGAGCAGGGAGAGAGAAAGACAGGTGGCATTGAAAGAGGAAGAACTCAAAAGAGTCACCATGAGATGCCCTAGGAGCAGCTACAGTGGTGCTCCGCATGATGACAATAATATCACCATGAGATGCCACATTACAACCCCTAGGAGCAGCTACAGCGGTGCTCCGCATGACAACAATAATTAGTTCTGTGAAAATCGCTGTTTAGCTAAATCATCGTCATGCAAAATGTGATTCCCCATTGGAATGCATTGAAACCTGTTTAATGCATTCCAATGGGGAAAACGCCTCTTCGTTCAACGAAGATCGCCCATAGGGAAGCCATTTTGCGAGCGCCGACGATCAGCTGTAAAAATGGCTGTCCTGCGAAGCATGGGTCCGGAAAACACAGGGCAGCCATTTTGCGAACCCGACGATCAGCTGTAGAATCGTTGTCTTGCGAACAAACGGTCCGTGAAGCACAGACCAAATCAACATCCAGCAAAAATTGCCCATTGAAATCAGTTTTGCGAATCGCTATAGCGATTGCAAAACATCATCATTATGCAGATTTGTCGTTTAGCGGGGTTGTCGTCTAGCGAGGTACCACTGTACCATTGATCTTTAAAGCACTAGGTCAGCTGCTTCACTGGTTCAGGAACACAAGCTCAGAGTAAGTTAATACAGAATATGTTTATGCTACTTTCATCACAGCAGTATCACAAACTCCATGCTATCATCATGCTCATACTCCCTTGTTAAAAAAAAAAAGGAGGAAAGAGTTATCATCCTCAAGGGCTCAAGAGGCAGACCAATATCACCCACAAACAAATATCTCTGGATGGTTCACAAAATAAAGCTACCTATCAACTTGCAGCTACCTGAGAGAGGTAGTCCAAAAAAAAAAGCTTAGTTTCCCCAATCCAGTGATGATTATTTTCAAAACTTAAAACTGAGTTAATGAGGTTAAGTCTACAGCAGAGGTACACAGATATTGACTGGGGAAAAGCTGTATTACCTTTACTCCTGTAAGCATCCCTGTTGTGGAAACACTAAAATCCAGGTATGCTAACATTTCTGGAGTTGGTGGTTTGTAGACCTGAGGTAGCCGCTTCCGGGGCAAGTCATCTGGGGCAAGTAAAAAAAGAAAATTGTTCATAATATTTCGTGAATGGGGAGTGAAGGAGGACTAGATGTTGGGAGCAACTGCAATGCATTTTCAAAGATAAATTACAGCTGGGGGCTGACTACATCTTTTCAAACAAAACAACAAGAACACTCTGCCAAAGAGATGAAGGGAAAAGCCCACAACTACCTAGGCACCCAGTCACTTTTAAGATTATTCACAATGGGCTCATGAGGGTGCACATATTGCAGATATGGCATAACAGCAAAGTGAGGACACAAAGACTCATCTTGTTTCATGACTTGTTCTATTCATTTTATGTAAGCAGACGTTTGTGCAACACATAGCATGGAAATATTGGCAAGCAACCAAGTCCCTGCCATCATCATCTCAGGAACTTGCTAGTATGTGACAAACACTTGGATGTTTCTTTTGAAGATTCTCACTCAGTCTTGGGGAATTCAAAAATGTTTTCATTATTGTCCACTGACACCCACCAATTTTATTATGGTCTTAATGAGAAATTGACTATGACTATGGTTGAAATAATGTTCCTTAGTGTAAGTGAAACTGTAATGTTCAGTCTGTTCCTCCCTGATAAACAAACTGTCCCCACCATGATTTTTGGGGGTGGATGCCATGGGCCCCTCCCCCTGGAGAATCAAGGAGGGGACACTTTGTTCAGCAGGAAAGAATGGACCGAAAGTTATGGTTTGGCTTAATTTAAACAACAGGAGTCAGGCTAACCTGAACAGGTGCTTCACAGCTGTCTGGAAGATCCTGGCAGTGGTTTATCAGCCAATCTCTACATGGGGCCATATGACCACCTGGGAGGCCCTGGTACATATCAAGGGGGCCACATACGGGAAACAATTGTTCACACCCCACCTTGTAAGTTTTGTTATGTGGCTTATACAAACCTAATTCAGCCTGTATTTCTTTCCTATGGTGTTTATGGCCATGGCCAAAAAAGGCTGGTTTTTAGATGGTCCATTAGGCTCTGTTACCTGTGTCAATGATGGTGGGCCAGGTTTTCACATCAACAGCAGTTGCCGCCTCTCTAGATCTCAGCAGTCTCATCAAGATCTGACTTGTGAGAATACAGGCAGCTTTGCTGACCTAAAAGGCATCCAAATAAATAACTGTTGTTAGGGTGCAAAGAAGAAAGAAACAGCTAATATGAGACAGAGCCACAGAACTTTTAAAAATGGCTATATTTGATGGCTGTGTATGTGTGTGTATCTCTCTCTCTACACACACACACACACACACACACATATACACACCAGAGCATATACACGTTTGTGTGTATGTGTATGTGTGTGTTGAACTGCAGTCTGTCAGCATTGCCTCCCTTGCCTCCTTCGCTAATACCAAGTGTAAACTTGGTAATACATATATTTGAGAGAGTGTAAAGTATTTCATAAACATGATTTCAATCTTCTTTAACACAATTCTGCCCCATCGCTCAATTGCTACATATTAGAGAAGGAGACAAGGCAGGCAATGCTGACAGACTGCAGTTCAACTAATTCTTCCCCAGTAAGTTCATGAAGTGACCTTACTGGGTGGGACTTGCGCAAATTGGAATTCCCTATCCCAGATTTCACACTCTTAATCATATATCTGATGCCTCGTATTTTATGACTCGTATACTGGATGGAGGGTCTGACACTATCTCAGGCCACGCTCCATCTACTTAGCCTGCAATTGTACAAAGACCAAAATATGTGTGCATAAAAAACAGACTCGTGTTCATTGATGTGTGTGAACTCTCCATCTATAGTAACTAAGACTTTAGTTCTGAGATGGTGAAAATTTGCATGACGACTAATTTTGGGGTACACAGTTATTTTTCCTTTATTCATAACTGTGGACTGAAGTCATTGTAAACTGATACATTTTGTGTAAAAACAACACCTTATTACTTAGAGAGAATGGAGACATCTCTCATAGGGAGAGCTTCCCAGTGAAAAGAATGTGTGATATTTTGTATCCTAGCTCACATTTTGTTGCCTAATATCAAATAAGCTACCTAGTCTATTCACAGAGATTAAAAAGCAAACAAACAGGAAATCATCCAGTAAATTCAACATCATAAAATACATGCAAGACAGTGCGACAACTGCAAGGTCATACCTATTTTCCAAGTACTGATGTATGAAACCACCATGTTCAGTCTTATTAAACACACAATGTTGGTTTTGGTTCATATACAACTAGAATGTAATTAATCTTTTGTTCCATTTGTGACTGAAGGACAGTGGGAAAAGTTTGCAAGTCGCTGCTGTGATGTCATGATGGAAAAAAAGTGAGCCCACATCCTGACATGGAAAGCGGAAGAGTAAATGCTTTCACACATTTAATGTTTTATGAGCTGTAAGGCAGTAACAGGATGTTTTTACAGTGTTTCAGTGTTAGTGAAGCAACTATGTTTCACTAACAACTAAATTAGATGGATTGTAATGCATTACTACTTTGGGTTTTTAATACTACTTGTGTTTACTATTTCTCTGAATGGTAATTGTTCCTTTTTAATATTTGTACATTTATTGTTTTTAGCTTTATTATTTTCTTTTAATGATGTAAGCTGACTTTTTATGCTCATTGTCCTGAGCTTTAAATATTGGCTTTTAATGAGATAAACCACCATTGTATAGTCATTATTTTCAACTTCAAATATTGTCTTTCAAAGATGTAAGCTACTTTGGGTCCTTTTTAAGGAGAAAGGCGGGGTAAAAATATCTTAAACAAATAAAAAGTGAATTAAATAAACCTTACTGAAAGCAGTGTGCCACGACATGTCCGCGCTCCTCCCTACCAGCTGATATTCAAAGAACAGCAGCTACGTACATAACAGTGACCCAACAAATCAATGCCTCCTTTACTGATCAAGACGTGACCCAGCCGCTCTGAGGTTCTTTGCTACTCACGTCTACAATCATCCGCACGGTGGGCAAAGTGGCCGTGAGATTCTGAGCGTGCGGAGGCCGGACGGTCACAGGGATGCAGCCAGCATACAGGCAGCCATAAAAGGCTGCAATGAGTTCAATGCCTGCACGGAGACAAGGGCAAAAAAGCAGAGAAACAGCCGTGAGCCTCCTTTGCCCCCATCAACCTCCTTCCTTCGCTGTAAATGCCCCAAGAGAAGCGCAAATCTCGAGAACCACTCTCACTTTCAGGACAGCCCCCCCCCCCAAAAAAAGTTCAGCAAAGGAAGAATGAGATTAGTACACAGTTCGCGACAGAATCAGCAGTGTAACATGACGTGTGTAGTTGATGCTGCCCTACCATCACCACAAGGACAAACTCTCTCTGCCATAGGTATTTTTAAGACCCCCCCACACACACACTGATAACCTTGGAAGGAAGAGCACGCCATCTAGTGAGTGAGAAGCTTCCCCCAGGCAAAAAATTTTTAAAATTCTTGAGCCCTAAATGGCAAAGAACATACCAGAGAGGAAAATTCTATGGGATTACATAATACATGTATGATGATATTTTGCTTTTTGCTTATTTTTTATTACCCCAAAATACAAAGAAAGCATCAAAGTAGTGTCAAATACACCATGCAGTTGCCTATCACTCCAGCAGATGGTGATCATAAGAATAATGAATAATATACTTTGACACTGCCTATTACACCAAGAGATAATGATAAACAGGATCAAAGGTCTTCCAATATAACCCTTATACTGTATTATGACCATACTTCTAAGTTTCAGCACTTTAAGGTTTCAATTACAAATTGAGGAAAATGAAACAAGAGTTTGTTTTTTCCTTGTGGTGAGAAAGCTTTGACGTGCCTCAGTGCAGTGGTAGATGAATAAACCGCCTCTGCCTCTCTGTCGCCATCCAGTGGCAGCTTATAACACAATCTCCCTTGAATGTGAGTCTGACATATTGGATAGCTCAGTGGTCTAGGTCTCTGGCAGCAAAGCCAGAGGTTGGGAGTTCGATGCCCCGCTGTGCTTCCTTGGCAGGGCCCCTTCCAGCTCTACAATTTCGATTGTTATCATTATATCAGTGTTCTGCATTGTATATCCCTACTACAGTCCAAGGGACAAGGAAGGCTCTCAACGTACCCCCACCATTCTTCCCCACCCCCCACCCCCCTACAATTCTTACCAGGAGGATAGAGCAGCACCACATTATCACCAGCATTGAGGTGTCCCTTTTCATACAGAATCGATGCGATTCGTTCAGCTCGCTTGTGCAGCTGCAGGCAGGTGGCTGTACAAACGGGGGCCCCCTTGAAGAGACAGAAAAGAAACGCCTGCTCAACAAATCTGTGGTGTCTCAAAGGAACACTCTGGAAAAATTGGGGCAAACGCTGAGGCCTTCCTGAAGTCTCGCTTGCTTCCTGTCTCGGCTCACTCAAACTGTCCTGTGCAAGGACCCTCTTTGGGAAGCGGGGGAGCTGTGCTTCTGTTAACACAGCGCCATCGTTTGGCCAGGTATGCTGCGAGGTGACTGTTTTGTGTGAAAGGGGATGGGAAGCCATCGGAGCTGAAATGGGAATGAGCCAGTGTGCCAAGCTGGATACTGGTGGCCACCAACTGCCAATTCCAAGCCCTGCTCAGCCACTCAAGGCAACCAAACATGGGCAAAGCATGTTCTTTCAGCTTGGTCTCTCTCTGCCTCTTGAAAGTGGAAGCAACGCAAATCCACCGGGCACACTTGGCTGTTGAGTGCAGTCCAAGGAAGGATTGTAAAGCCGTACTGAACTGATACATATCCCTGCAATTGTATACGGATGTGGATGGTAAGTTTACCTGTGTTCCTATACCCTTGGGAACACAAGATACATTTGGAAGACAACAAGGCCCCATCTGTACCTTAGCATTGAGCAGGAGGAAAAGCATGTGTTCGGGAGTGGCTTGGGCTCTCCACTGAAGCACCTCGGACAGGAACTGATGCTGCGAAGAGAAGAAGCAATAAGTTGCGCCCTTGTGATACTCCAGGGCCAAGACAGAGACAAAGGACATTTCCAGGAGATCAGCCCAGGCTTATCTGAAGGACAGCAAGCATAGCAAGGAAGCAGCAGGCAGGCAGGCATGAGATGGCCAACAGACCATACAGCTCCCTCAGATCCTCATTTATTGACAGCCTCGTAAGTGCTTGCAAGAAACAGAAGAGGCAGGAATCCTGATTTAAGGAGCTTAAGGGAGCGGAACGGTGTGCACAGGAACTGGGACGATGCGCAGCCCCCCCCTTTGTTCGCTAGCTGTTCAGTGCAATGTAAAATGCAAAGAAGCAAGGAAAGATGGTTTGCAAGAGAACTGAGTTCAAGTGCCCGGACAGCACTTTTCCTGGACTACATATGACCCTAATAATCTCCTCATGATTATACACATCTCTCTGGAAACAGAGGTTTCTCACTACTGTAGGCCCTGGAGACATGCAGTCCTCGGCCTAATCCTAAAGCCCTTGGAAAGCGATCGGATCAGAACACAGAGGAAGGAAAGATTTCTTCTTGCCAGAATGGCCCCATTAGGCAGGCAGGGAGGGAGGGAGGGAGGTGGGAAAAGAGTGTGTGTAACAGGAATATCTTGCCCACTTTGAGGCCTGGCCCCATCTGCCACGGGCTTCAGCTCTGCCCACAGCAAGCATGGGACTCCCACGAGGGCCTAGCTGCTCCTCTAAGAGAATGCCATCCGTGAAAGGAGAAAAGGAATCCCTGGTCCTGCTCCATTGTGAGGGGAGGACCAGGAGAGCCGGAGCGGTCTTGCCCTCGGCGGGGCTGAGGGGCAAAAGGGCCAAGCTTGGGCAACGTGCCCCAGACACTCACCTTTCTCACCAGGTCATTCTCTTCTATCTGTCCAAGGTCCCTCCCGGAGGCTTGTGCGATCCGCTTCCCTGCCACCAGGTTTCCCACCATCACAGAGGCAGGACCGACGCCTGTTGAGAGGACACCAAGGGGCAAGCGCAAGGTGAAGGAGAAGACCTCGCACAGCCCAGAGTTAAGAGGGAAAAGGAACGGGGCCAAGCACGGGACTCCTGAGGAGGGCAAGGGAATTCTGACAGCATGTTCTGAACCCATTTGACTGAAAACCTTTCTGAGACCAAGGCTAAGAAACTGACAGAAAGAACAAGTCAATGCTGCAGGAAGCAGGTTTTATAAGACAGCATTTGGGAAACCTTGAGCAGCGAAGCTGAGTGGTTAAATCATAGAGTCATGAATTTGGAAGGGGGCCTGTAAGGCCATCGAGTCCAACCTGCTGCTCAATGCAAGGGGGTGTGTGGACTCGTTAAGAGAATGCTGTCCATGAAAGGGGGGAAAATCAGCCTGTTATCAAGGGATATCTGCCAGGGGGTTGTTTTAAATAACGTACTCCAGGGATATTTTTTGAGCAGGAATTAAGAAAGCTTATGTGCACAGCAGGTCATCGAGTCCAACCTTCTGCTCAATGCAAGGGGGCTGGACTTGTTAAGAGAATGCTGTCATGAAAGGGGGGAAAAAAACCAGGCTGGTATCAAGGGGTTGGTATATCTGCCAGGGGGTTGTTTTAAATAACATACTCCAGGGATATTTTTTCAGCAGGAATTAAGAAAGCTTATGTGCACAGCCAGTCCTTATCAGGGACTGGAACAAAGGGGAGGAGATCAGAATACTTTTTTGGGAGGGAAGCCAGCAGTTACAGAAAACAAGAGTGCCAGATATGGAGAATTCACAGGGCTGAGCCCTGCTATTGTTATTTTAAACTATTTCCCTTCCTTTGCAAGCTAAGGGAAGAAAGCTCATTACCACCACACCACCCTTTCCTTTTCTCCTATGATGGAGCACAGAGGGGGCGAGTTCCAATCATATTTTGAAAGGAGCAGAGGCATCACATTGGGTTCCCCTTTCCAAGGCTGGCGCCCTGCCTGCTTCTCCAGAGGAGGAAATCTGATTTTTCTTATAACCCCAAGGATACTGTCCCAAATATAGTGATTACCGATAAACAGATGGCAGTAAAATAAGCAGGGGCTAAGTACTGCAAGTTTTAAAACTGTATCTCATTAAAAGAAATTATTTCAGATTTATTGAGGGACTTCCCCCCCCCCCCCAATAGTTCAATGCCATTTCTTTTTATCCCAAATAAACTTTGTTATTTCAAGAAAACTACTTGGAAAGATCTTATAAGGCAACATCTGATGAATAATTTCAGTAATAGATTTTCCACCAACTACAAGAGTAAACTCTCAATTCATATTTGTGCGTGTGTGTGCGCGCACCCGCGCTTGCACTTTACAAGGTTTATTGTTCTTCTATGGTTTCTTATGCAATTACCTGGTTGTTTTTGCCTGGGTTTTGGCAAATTGGTTACACATGTGTGTGGGCACATGAGAATGTTGCACGGGTGCAGCGACCCCTCTAGGAAATATTGTTTGGTCTGAGATATATGGATCCCTCCCAGAGGTGTCTTTGGCAAAGTATTGGCTGGAACAAGAGCGAGGCAATATACTCCCACCTGATGAATGCTGTCGATTGCCTAAGAACAAGAAAACAAGAGATGACATGACAGCTGAACGATGCTGAACAACGAGGAAGTATCGAACACTATGCATTGCATGGTCTCTTGGCTCTAGTGGCCAGTTCTGGTAAATACACCCTGGAAAACCATAAATTGGTATTTGGGGGGGGGGCAGGGTTAATTTAGTATTTTTAGCCAGCAGATAAGTGAATCAGCAGATACTGAACCCATGGATGCAGGTGGGGCTACCATAACACAAGTTGAGTAGTTGCCAGTGCTTGGCAGACAAGGTATGAGAAGAACAGCCAGTTCAGTAAAAACACCAGGGATCAATGAAGTCTCGGAAGGAGGGTGGGGTGGGAGTAAAAAAAGAAAGAAAACATTTGCCTACATTGCTTCCCCACTTTTTGCAAGCAGGAAGAATTGGGGAGGGGGGGCGCGGTGACGGTGCTTAGGCTAGGTGCAAGGGACCGTATCATTTGCACAGGAGGGCTTCTCACCCTTAACCTCAGGAAAACAAAGGGGGGGGCGCGGTGATGGTGCTTAGGCTAGGTGCAAGGGACCGTATAAGAAAACATTTGCCTACATTGCTTCCCCACTTTTTGCAAGCAGGAAGAATTGGGGAGGGGGGGCGCGGTGACGGTGCTTAGGCTAGGTGCAAGGGACCGTATTAGCAATGCATTCCCAAATGCACTGAAAGAGGTTTCACCAGTTCAGTAAAAACTTACACCATTCTTGTGCAGCAGCACTGCACAATCATTGTGTAGTGGAATTGTTTCCTTATTCTGAAAATGCACCAGGGCATGTGAGAAATTTTAAAACTGGCCCTGGGAGAAAACCTGACATACAGATGTTCACAAAATACCACTAACAAAACACACAATGGCCTCCTTCATATGGCTCCTTGCTTTGTTCTTACAATTTTAAAAGACTCTTCAGCCACAAAAACTACTAAGGCTGCAATCCTGTGCATATCAGGAATAAGCTCTTTTATCAGTAGAACCAACGTCTGAGTAAATATAAATGAAATTACTGTGTTATGTAAAAATCTGGAAAGCTTCAGTGGACCTTTAGTTAGCCAAGGGCTTGGTTTGGGTGATCTGCCCCTGCCAAACAGTGACCGTGCATGGAAACATGTGTGCCCACCAATTCTACTCTCAAAAATGTCTTTAAGTTGTAAGACATGGAGATATTCTGCATGTTACCAAGTCCCACTTAGATTTTAGAAGGTACCATCATACATATTTATGCAGAACACTCTTTGCTGGTGGCGCTAGATTTCAGGGCTTAATTATAAGAGAAAAGAGGCTGTTTCATGGAGGTATCTGACTTCTAAATCCCTGTTTGATTTAAAGTCATGCAGAGCCACCTGGAAGAGAGAAGCTGTTTGTCTCTGCATGATGTACGTTTTGCCTCAGGCTGGTCAAGACAGCCCAGCCACGTCACAGGCCAGGTCTCCTTCTAGGTTTAAGGACATTCTGAGCCAACAGTAGTGGCTTCCATTTCTAAATGACTGCCAGACCACTGAGGAAGGAAGTATATGCTGGGAGTCCCAACCTGTAGCACCCGACTCATCCACTGGAAACTGTCCTCTTCAGAAGCATCAGGGCGCTGCTCAGCCACTACCACAATCCTTTCATCGTAGAAGACCGTCACAGAGAACACTGCAATCCTGAGAGAGAAATCAAGGCAAGCTTTAGATTGGGCACAACAGCAGCCCAAAGCATGCAACAAGCATCCACAAAAAGGCAACAGCAGAAACTCCACCAGGAAACGTATGTGTTGGCTGAAAGAGCTCGGACCCTAAATGTGAAGGTCCCTGTTTCAGGTGGCCACTAACTCCATACTCCAGAGACTCCCAACATCTGACAGTGATCCCTGTACCACTCCCTCCACTGGGAATCAGGCAGGTCTTCAGATGAAAACTGCCCCAGTTAGGACACAGAAATGACACTATGAATGCCCTATAAGATGCAAAAGCAGGGCTTGCAACTGTAGTTGCAAGGAGTGGGACTGGAAGAGTATCCCATTTGGTCAACATTTCAAAGCAAACCCAGCCTAATTTGGACTTCCTAGACTAATATATGTGGCTCAGAAGAACAGCTGTACTTATTTCTCCAAATTCAGCAACACCATTCGCAACTCAGAAATGACATACAAAAACACAATCTTTGTAGACATACAACTGAACGCAAAAATACTGTAAATGCTTGTTACAGACACAGTGCTATATAACACTGCATACAAAATTGCAGCACCTGTTTGCATTTTAATTTTTTAATAGGTGTTGCAACTAGACCAAACAGTCTTATAACTGCATACATATGAAACTGAGAAGGACCAGAAGGAGGCTGATGAATCCATTCTTTATGAGGGATGCAGTGAAATTAGACAATACAAGAAAGAAGAGATTAAAGGATGGTCCAGGAAAAAGCTACAAAGAATGTATAGTTTTTTGCTTTGTTTTGTTTTGAACGGGAAAAGCAAAAGCGGAACTGTTTCATCTCTTAGAGCTGTAGGAATTCAGCCAAGTGTGAAAGGGACTGACAGAGATGACTGGGAATGAATACACCACACATTCAAGCCCTCTTGGGATGAAGTTTGCTTTTCTTCCATGCAGTGTGATCCAGTTTTTACAGTAGGAAGATGAACTTGGCTGCAAGATAGGGACTAATAACAAGCATCTCACAGACTTTCATAACCTTTCTTGTTAGCATATTTTATCCTTATAAAACAGCATCTCATTTGGACGAAAAGGGTGCAATTCACAGCAAGAATGCTCTGTGTCTGCTAAGCTATCTTTATATACAGCCTTGGATAAACTATGTTAGAAATTTTACTTACACCTTCTGTTTGAAGGGACAAAAAAGGGCCTACCCTTTGTGGCACGAATATTTTTGGTGCAGAATTCATTGCAACTTGTCTGTTTGCAACTCGGTGCACCATGTGTTAATTCATTCAAGATTCTCCTGAATTCAATAAAAAGGCATGGCCCTTTCTTGTTATTCCTGAGAAGAATTCAAGACACAGCAAACTCATATCCCAAAGAGCACTAGAACAACAACATCCTTCAAAAAACACTGATCAGCAGGATAATCCAGTGACGTCTTTTGCTACTATCGAGACACAGACAAACCTTCCTCTGTAAACTGTCTTAATGGATTCAACTGCTAGTCCAGTGGCCACGATGTCATCAGCATTATGTCTGCGTCCACTAACAATAAGCATCCCGTCTATTTTTCCAACGACAAAAACCAGGCTGCCCTGTAAGGCAAAAAAATAAAATAAAGGGGGGGCAATCAGCAAACAACACAATTCTCTCTACTGAATATACATCTATTGCTTCTCTTCTGCTTTTCTTTTAAGGTCCCCATTGTCTGCCCTCCCCCACTATTAGCTGATCTGTCCCAGAGCTAAATGGAGGACACCAGACACTTTGGTTCTGAGAGCAAACAGGGAAGCAGGTATGTATACGTGTTCATGGATACAGATAAAGAGACAGGCAGACAGATGGATAGCTAATGCCAACTATTAATCCCATCCAGAGTAAACCCAAGTAAATGATTCATTTTGACTTATGGCAAACCTTTCCAGGGTTTTCCAGACAAGAGAGTACTCAGAAGCCATTTACCAGGCCCTCCCTCTTGGACTACGCAGCTTGCGCAAGACACACACAGGCTGGCTCTTTCTTCATGGACTCACTGAGCTATCCAGCAAGCTAAGCATTTATTGCATAGGATTGAAGTTTGCCTCCTTTAAAACATGCTCTTATGTTTATAAAATAATATATACTTGTATGGGGGGGAAAATCTCCATACCAGAAACCAGAATTCTACTGGTGATTTACGCATGTGAAAGTTAACTTATTGAAGTCATCTGTCACTGAGCTCCTTGGAGGTACTCATTGCATTAGTGGGCAGGCACCGGTTGCACAAGTGACCACACACCTAGTAACACGAGTAGCACCTCGTTAGTTAGTTGAACTCATTGTGGTGAGTAAGACATTTAACTTCTGCATGCACAAATTACCAAGAAGAATCTGGACAGGGAAATTTAGAAGGTTCATGTTTTGTTTTGAAACACATTTTGTTCACGGGCCAGGGTACTTGTGTGTATCCCGTCGATGTACAATAATATGTAAGGAGTGCAACGGAACTTACAGGTCCCACAAAACCCAGCAGTCCAGAGCGTACAAAAGGGACGTCACCCACAGAAGAGCCAGCTGCATTCACGGGGATGACCTGAAAGAAGAAAAGGCAGGCCATCAGGGACGGAAGGGGCAATGCGTTTTTCACCCAGCAAGCCGGGCAAGAAGGCAAGAGTCCTTTTAAGGTGAAAGTAATCCAGGGATGGGATCCGTTCTTTTCATTAATTGGGAATGAACAAAAGCATGGAAAGGGCAAGCGAGCAAAATGCCGTTCACTCAATGACAGCTGCCAAGACAGTTTTACTAACAGACTTCATACAACGGTGTGATCTGCTGGTGAAATCTTTATGAAAAGCTAGTTGGAGAATTCACCCTCATGAAAGTGTTCCAACCTCTTCTCCCCTCTGCTGCAGCAATTTTTGCTAAGCATTAAAAATAAACTTGCATTCCCCAGATGCATAGTTACAAGTAAAGCCTGGCTGTGCACAAGGGAAGAGAAGGGAAGAACTTCAGCACGGTCAGTGGAGTAGGCAATAGAGGACACCGTTGACAGGACTGCATGCTTTTCTGTACATGGGCAGCAATAGGTTCTCTATGTGCAGGCTTTGCAGGGAAACAATCACCATTCTACTCTGGTCCCTGGTCTTTAAAGCACCCAATGGATTCCTAGACTGCTCAGCCACCATGTGAAGTAGATATCTGCTGTTCTTAACAAGTGGTTAGTGAGATTCCCATGATGCTGGACAATAGGATTAAGGTAGCAGTACCATTTGACACACAGCAATCAGAAAATTTTAAGAACTATGCATATCCCTTATGCACGGACAAGTGTCAGGTGAACAGGTGTATGGATCAAGAGCTAGAATTGCTTTTCTGTTTCCTTCCACATGTAAGCTTTTCACTTTACATCTATCAAACTAGCTGCTTAGAAAGCTTTGGTCTCAATGTGATTATTAAAACTACAGTGAATACAGTCTTCCTAAGTCTATAAAAATCCTAAAGTTCATATCCCACAAAGGAATAATTAACAATGCTAACTTAAATCAGGTATCCACAATGCCCAGTTCTAATTTTGTATTATGACGCCTGAAAATGGATCCTTAGCCTTTAGATAGTCCAACTTTCAGCAAACTAAGGGAAAGAAGATATTGCTAAATGTGAGATTTCCAAGACTTCTTGCCACTCCCCTTCCTAATAAATTCTCAGACAAGTGCTGGATTAAGCTGGTTTGGAGCAGCTACTCATAGCACATACCAAGAGCAATGATCTTTGCCCTCCAGAATTCCTGGACTACAACCCCATCACCACAGACCACGGGTTGTGCTTGCTAGCGCGGATGGGAGCTGGAGGCCAGCAAACAACGGAAGGAGTCTGTGTTCCCCATCACTGTCCTAAGCTAAATGAGTGGGATCTGTCCCTTTGAAATCTGAATTCAGCCATAAACCTCACAGAGGACTTTGAAAGACCACTTTCTCTCCCATCAAGTCAGCACTGCCTTCACCTAGAAATCAGCAAAAGGGGAATAATATTGCTGATTAGAGGATGGGGGTATCTGTATATGAATACTCTCGCACAGCTGGATGTAATGAGGGTCCAGTCCCCCCCGGGATCAGACCGTCCGCTCACGCATCCACCAGCATGAGAGGCTCCTGCTCTCCCTTCCAATCGCTCCAGAGCTCGGTCCCCCAGGGACCAGACTGTCCACTCACGCATCCACCAGCACAAGAGGCTCCTGCTCTCCCTTCCAATTGCTCCAGAGCTCACAATCAGTTATCCACTCGTCAGCCTGTCAGGGAGACTCCAGTTATCCACTCATCAGCCTGGCAGGGAGACTCGTCTTCCCTCCTTCTGCCAGGAGTGACTAGTCAACCAGGAGCTCCAGAGTGACTGGAAGGGAGAGCGGAGCCTGCGGTGGACACATGAGCAGGCCCCCGTTACATCCAGCTGTGCAAATACAAATACCTCCATCTCTACTGCTGATCTACCTAACACAGTTGCTGTAAGGATTTCTAAAAATGCCTACAAAGTGCTATGGAAGTTTCAACATGAAATATTAATTCTTATTCTTCTTCCTCCTCTTCCTCTTATTATTAAAAAGAAAAATAGGAAAAGGTCTCCTTTTCCCTGCCTGCCAACCAACCCTAATATGAAAATTCCCAACATGAATACTCTGCTAATTGGATTGGATAAAATAGGGCATAATTCATTTGAAAATGAAAAACAATACCATACCTCAAATGTGTTTTTAGTTACTCCAGTTAGCCCATAATACATCATCCCTCCTGTTCTGGAGCTCACACAGATTTCACCAATCTCATCCGTCTTGCAGAGTTGAGGAGGGCCATCTGGCTTCACAATGCACATCATTCCTAGAACAAATCACAATCAACTCTTTTGCTGAATGTACAGAACATTTTGGAACAGAAGAAACAGAGCAACACTAAGCTAAGGATCTGAACACACTCGGAGGGCTTTGACAGCACGATTCTTTGCCCTGTTCTTCAGCACTGCCTGCTAGGCTTAGTGAGAGCAGCCACAGTTCTACTCACCATTTAAAGTGATACATTTTCTTGAATTCATGATTCAACACAAACATAACTATTGTGGGTAATGCCCAGTCAGCCTGCCTGCCTAATTCCTTTCCCTCCTTCCAGTTGTGTACTGGTATTTTCAGAATGCAGATCCAGTAAAAGCTACTAACTCGGTCAAATCACATTTTGACTGGGTTTCCCCACCCACCCGCTGGCTGGAAACCTTTTGGCCAGCTGCAAGCTTACTTCTCAACTTGGGATAAGGACTGGGGGGGACTAGACAGCCTTAGATAAAGAATATACCGTGTAATAAGGCAAGAGGATTGGGGCCAACGCTGAAACTCAAATGACTTGAATAACCAACCAACGGATGAAGTGGTCTACGGTGGACCCTTGACTTACAGACGGCTTGCCTTACAGACTTTTTGAGTTACAGACTTCTCTGGCCGCAAAATTTAGGTTTGACTTGCAGCCTGAGAATTGACTTACAGACCAGAAAAAAACCAAAATGGAACAAAAACGGCCTGTTACGGGATTAATCGGTTTTCAATGCACTGTAGGTCAATGGAGACTTGACCAACAGACTTTTTGACTTGAGAACCGCCTTCCAATGCGGATTAAGTTCTCAAGTCAAGACCCCACTGTATTTGTGGCGCACAGGGCATAGTGATGGATTATGGGAGAGCCAGGATGATTGAAGAAACAAAGCAGTCTTCGTGGAAGGATCATGCCCCCTGTGTTCCAGTTTACTAGTTTATTTAAAACACGTTTGCTCTTCTCTTTCGCTAAAAAGTATCACAGAAAAGCTCATCTATGAGTAGTAAAAGAACAGCCTCATCTCACAAATTTGTAATGTAAATGTAAAATGAACAGGGAGGGAAAAGGAGGAAGGGGAGGCAAATTCAGGTACCCACTTTTTTAAAAAGTAACCAACAGTTCTCATAACGACTCACTGGAATAGAAATAGTTAAAGAGGCCAGGAATCAAATGGAGATGATCTCTGAACAGAACTAGGAATGGGATACTTTCAAAAAGTCTCATAGAAAGAGTCTGCCCTCCTTTCCAATCCCCACAACACTCACCACCTGGCATGACGTGACCAACATCCTGTACAGTGAGAGCAGAGTTCTTATCTTCTGTGTTCACACGGATGACACCATAACTCAAGCCATTCATTGATAAGATAGCTCTTCCAGGCAAAGGGGCCCCAGGGATTCCTGGCCTGGAAATAAAATGTAGATTTATGGTCTATAGGAGGGGCTAGCAGACTGCATGCTTGAATTTACTAGTATTGATTATAGGATGCACTGCAGATCAGGGCTTCCAGCTGCCAACAGATTAACTATGGCAAAAACAAATCGGGTCTCATTCTGCATCTGGGTTCATTGCCTGAGCTTCTATTCAGTACTCAGCTGCAGTTAGCGGATCTCAGTTGTAGTGGCTTAGAGGGAATCGCAAAGGGAATCTTATATGTCTATCACCTGTCACATTTACATTTCAGCCCAATACAGAAGACGCTTCTGAGTTATTAAAACACCACGATAACCAGTTTCTTCTTAGTTATGTAGCGTGCCCACTACAACTGAGTTTCCTAAAGCTGGAATTGGATTTTTCCAACAAATAGGAAACCCTCACGGCCACCGATTTTTTAATCGATATCCTGAGTTATTTCAGGTTCGATTTGGTGAAAATACCCAACATGATCCGAAATGATCTAGGAAAGTGGTGCAAAGCTGGATGGACACAGAAGGCAGCACTGAGAGACCTACAGGAAACCCTGTTGTACTCAAAAATTACTTCTTGATTATGGCATTAAAGTTACAGTGGTGCCTCGCTTAGTGATTGCTTCGTTTAATGATGTAATCGCTTAACGATTAGTTTTCCGGAGCGATCTTGCTTAACGATGTTTATGATGGGCGATTTTCGCATAGCGATGTTTGGGACCTTGCTTCGCATAGCGATGACAGTTTGGGTCCCCCTGTTTCGCTTAACGATGGTTTTGACAGCCTCGTGTTGGCTGTCTTTTAAATGTTTAAAAATGTTTTTAAAAGGTTTAGAATGCTTGAAATCATAAGTGCACTTAATAAACCCTTTGTTTAACTAATTTGACTTTGTTCTGACTCTTTGAATTTGTTGTAATTCCTCCCCCCATTGAAACGCATTGAATAGGTTTCAATGCATTTCAACTGGGGAACCGCGTTCCGCTTAGCGATGTTTCCTATGGCGATTTTCGCTTAAGGACGGCAATCCGTTCCCATTGGAACGGATTATCCGGTTTTCAATGCATCTCTATGGGAAAACACGTTTCGCTTAGCGATGTTTTCCCATAGCGATGTTTTTTTGGCACCAATTAAAATCGTTAAGCGAAGCACCACTGTATTACCATTTCCAGGGTAAAGCCTAACACAGAGCACACAGCAGATTTTTATTTGATTATAGGCAAATGAGTTTTAAGTATTAAAAATGTTCAGACATACTTTCTAGATAGGTTTAAGCCATAATCCAAATACGTTTTACTAAAATGTGCACCATGCCACTAGAATGACTTAATTAGCAGCAATCTGCCACCACAGTTCATGCAATTATACTTATACTGGTGTAAATCCCCAGCAGCATATCAGTCACTATTTGTTACTTGTTGCGCATCATGAAACAAACAAAACATTTTGCATACAAAATAGAAATAAAATAGTTTTGGAAGTAGTGTCTATTATTCACTATAAATGAAAAATAGTTTACACCAACGGTCTTTTATTCCCTGTCCTAATTTGGACAGCCTTTTGTCACATCTCCAGAATTATCTCTCAAACCAGTATGTCCAATTATCCAGAGGGAAGGCTAATTGTGCACACATTACTTCTATTTGGTGTAAGAACAGAAGCAAGCAGTTATAAATAAATAAATAAATATTATTCAGAGAAACAGCTGTCAAAGTAGTGAAAAACAACTTGTGGTTTCAGAATCCCCAGGTACGAAACAAGCTTCTAATTATTTGCAATTCTGCAACATCTCTTAAACATACAAAGCAAGCCAGCAAGGGGAAAAATAGCCATCGTCATACCTCCGAATTGCCACCGTCATTGCTTCAGGGGATGTTGCACAGGGACATATTGCCTCTGGCTTAAGCCCATGGCTTTGGAACAGACTCAGGAAAGCATCACAGGAGGACACAGACCCTGGAAAGCAATCATTCTCATTTTAAATTGTGAATTACAGCCTGCTAACAGAAATGCCAAGGCGGATTAGAAAGCCCTGATATCCACAATTTATATGAGCCCTAAATGTAATAAGATTTTCAAAAGATTTAGTGCACTGCAGACAAGTGCTGTAATAGAGTGTCTCTCGAAAACCAAACCGTTTCATTTAATTACAAGGCTGTAATGCAGTTCTGAAACCCTGGACATTTTACATCATCATTTACAGGAGGCTTGTCTCTCTCAACAACAACAACCATACAAGAAAGCTCAATACAGATGTGTATGAATAAAGCTGCAATGCCAAATCACACAACATATAACTGCCATTATAACAAAATCCCGAACCCTTTCAAGTGAATATGCAAACATTTGTGGAAGAAGGCTGTGCACTGTTTCCCCACCCCCATCATAATATATGTTAAATGTATTAACATATATTTTCCTGATACAGCCTCCCTACCCTCCCACCCCTGTCTGATTCAGAAACGCTTAATTGCGTTCAGATCTTACTCGTTGCCAACACCATCTGGCCAGACACTCAATTAAACCCTCAAAGAAGCACCAACTCATGGAAGGCTGCTGCTAATTTCTTATACAGACCCTTTGCTTCATCCCCTGTGAGCAATTCAAACGTGCCTAAGTGTTCTAGTCTCCTTCATTTTGTAGGCAGTTAACAGGCTGTCTACTCCCACCTGCCCCCACCTGCAACAAAACTGCTGTCTTCCTTCCTCATAGATAACTTTCTTATAAGTAGAGATTTGGGTTATTTCAGGGACAATTGCATGAAAGCAGAATTCAAGACCACATCTGTGGTCCATGGTGAAAAATCACCAGATGCTACCATTCTCTCTTTTCTTCTATGATTTTGTTAATACTGTTCAGGTTATCTATACAGTACAGTACTTAGAATAAGGCAAAGCACAAAAAGTGTCCCCACTAAACTGAACGGCACTAGTGACTGCTATTTCTATTTACTATGTGTGCGAAGGGGTTTAAAAAGTAGTCTTCTGTGCACACGTACCAACCTTTTCCCTCTATTATTCTTACATTATTTAAGATCTCTTAATGTAACGACTTCTTGTTTCACCATCTACTCTAAGCACTCAGGAAGGGTCAGGCCAGAAATTCTGCACAAAACTTAAACTAGAGCCGAGTAGTTGCGGCACCTGACTGTCTTATAAGACAAGATTTAACTGCTTGAATGGAAAATATGGCAAAGATTAAGCCACAAAATATATTAAAGCAAGAAATTGTTTTTATTTAACTAGCTAGTCTCATAAATGGAAGTATTACAATAAAATGTTCACCTTAAACACATGCGTTCCCACCACAGTTAATCAAATTTCAATGGCCAGGGGAAGAACGTTCCCATTTCCCACAAGGTAAAAACAAAACATAACTGAATTGTTTCCTGACAAATCTGAATACACTAACTTGCACTCCTTGTGAAATGAAAATATTTATCTGATCCTTGCCCTTCATGGAGCATTCCCTTCTATGTGGATCCACCTGGCTAGCTATTCCAGAGGTTACTGACCCTAAAACCCAGCAGGGTTTAGGTGTAGCATTGGGATGTATGAAGCCTGCAGGCTGCACTTTGCCCATCTCAGAGATAGTGTACATATACATATATATATGTACACACAGCCTCTGCCTGGAAGGCCTAGCACAAGGTACCATCATCATTCATTATCATGACTGGAGCTCAAGGAGGATACATTCTCCAGCCTTGTAAATGTGTATTAATCTCTCACACATACAAATAGGCAGACACACAAAACACACAAACACATACAGTTTCAAGCAGTACTGGCAGAAAAGCACATGCAGTTTCAAGGAATACAGGGAAAAGTCCTGATGAACAAGCAGGCAGTAGAACAGAAAAGCAAGGCTCACACAGACGATACTCACAGGGGTTAGCACCATCAGTTACAATCAGCATCCGCAGGGAACTTAAGCTGACATCTCTTTGGTCCCGGTGAGCCATCATGGCCCAGTGCAAATCTCGACATTTTACCAGAGCGACCTTTGCTGTAAATCAGAGGAACAGAGCAAGGAGTCAGCATACAGAAAGTGGCTTAGATGGAGCCAGTAAATATCAGAAGGATATCTTCAGGACTGTGAAGGACAAGTGACATAACCGGGTGGAATATACCATTGGGCATTAATACATTGTCATTCTCTAACTACAACATTCAAGGCATCCTTGGGAGGGGGCCTCTGTTTCCCAAAGGGATCTAAGGTGAGGAAATATGAGGCCTTCTGGAACACCTGAAGAAGAGACACAGCTGGACTGCCTGGCCTCATGGCACACTTCAGGCTTCAGGAGACAAATAAGGTCCCTTTCTCAGCATGAGTGCCAGACTGAGAATCTTGAAGAAACCTGGAAGATCTTAAGGTCCGACTCATCCACTGCAGGTTTTCAAAAGGGGCAGATAAACTCGAAGGAAGCTCACTATAGGACAGCCATTCAATAGCCACTCTACCTTTGTGAGTGTGAACCCTCTGTACCCAAGAAAGAGGGCAGGTTTTCATTACAGAGTACGGCACGCTGATGGTGTGCAGCTTGTTCATGACGCTCTGAAAGACAAAAAAAAAGGGGGGGGAGTCCTTGTAAGTCCTTGTTGAAGAGTGAGCTTCAGACACAATACAGCTGGAAAGAGTGAAATATTTCCAAATGTATTCCAAATAAATTATTTTTATCCCCATTAACTGAACAAACATTCTCTGCCAACCAAGGTTTTCTAAAACTGATTCTCTCTCCACTGAAACCCGCACCAAGCTTCAGCATAGACAACAATTCCTTGGCTCAAAAAGAAACGTATCTTGTGACTTCAAGCCCACCATTTGCTCAAAGCTCAGGACAGGGGGTGCAGTTTCAGAAAAACAGAAAGAACGAAGTGTGTTCCTCCTATGCAAAAAAACATAACCAATATACTATGTGAAAAAGCACCATTAGGAAAGATGTTAGCACCAATTCAAATAAAATCCTCATGAGGAAAGCAAAAAAGAGCTCCTAAAGGGATCAGGATGCTAAAACACATCCTCTCTAAAAATGAACCCATTGGATACAATTTATTCTCTCCAGGCTCTTGCTGAGAAAAGTTCATTTCATAATTGTTCCAGTAGTTGTTGAGGTGACATTGTTCGCTAATTGTTCCTTTCAATGCGGTGTCAGGCACCCAGAACAAAATACTTCCAAATGATACAAAATTGGAATGGAATAGATGATTCCAGGTTCATGCTTTGCACCAATTCTTTCCCAAAACATAGGATTTGCAATTGATGTAGACGGGTAGGAGTCATGTTCTAAAGACACAAGGAAGGGTGGAGAGGAAATGATAGAGCAACTCACTGATCACTGGATTTCTCTGCTCACACTGGGTCCATATTTGACATTTTTGCACAATCTCCTTTCCTTTCCCATTTCAGTTGCTTCTTGAAAACTCTAATCTGACCATAGTAACACATCTCTCATATACCTTTTATTTGGATTACCACCATACATAGGGCTACCTTTGAAGAATGTTTAGAAACACGATCCATTCAGCAGCCATAAAGCCAGTCTATTGAGCAGAGTCAATTACAAGGATCCAGTAGTTCCCATGGTTCAACTACTTCACTATTATAGGTTCACTAGTGGCCCATTTCAAAGCAGTGATTATGACCTCCAAGCTCCTAAAAACATGGGTTGGATTATCTAAAAGACCACACTCTCCCATTTGAGCCAAGGCCCTACAGCAGTCTTGCCAAAGTCGGCAGCACACTTGGTGTGGACCGAAGACAAAATATTCTCATGTAGGGGTGGACAAAGTGCCCCGCATGACGACAATCTGCCTACAGCCCTCTAGATGTTTTTGAACTCCAACAACCATGAGCCCCAACTGGCTTCATGCAATAGCAAGGCATGATGGAACCTATAGCTGAACACCACCTGGAGGGTTAGACTTCCTACCTATTTTCTAGTGGCAGTTTTGAAAACCAAGACATTTTAAAATCAAGCCCATAGAGAGAGAGACTTGTAAATACAGTGGTGCCCCGCATGACGACAATCTGTTCTGGGAAAATCGCTGTTAAGCGAAATCGTCGTCATGCGAAAAGCCTTTCCCCATTGGAATGCACTGAAACTCGTTTAATGCGTTCCAGTGGGGAAATAACCTCATCGTCCAGTGAAAATTGCCCATAGGGAAAGCCATTTTCTGAGCGCAAATCAGCTGTTAAAATGGCTGCCCTGTGAAGCATGGGTCCAGAAAACACAGGGCAGTGATTTTGCGGAGCCGGAAAAATCATCGTCTTGTGAAGCACGGACCTAATCGACGTTCAGCGGAATTTCCCCATAGGAACGGCTGTTTTGCAAATCACTATAGCGATCGCAAAAAGTCACCGTCCTGCGGATTTATCGTGCAATGGGGTCGTTGTCTAGTGAGGTACCACTATATGTTTTTTTTAAATGATGTTATTGCTGTATTTGAATGTTTTATCTATTTTCTTATGTTTTAATTAATTAATACAAATATTTATATTCTGACTTTCTTCTAAAAAGGACCCAAGGCAACTTACATTTCTAAAAAAGAAACAATATTAAAAATTAAAAGTTAAAATTATTACAGTATTAAAAAATTATTGAAATTGTAGTTGTAATTTTATGATATGATGTTATTGCTGTATTTGAATGTTTTATCTATTTTCTTATGTTTTAATTAATTAATACAAATATTTATATTCTGACTTTCTTCTAAAAAGGACCCAAGGCAACTTACATTTCTAAAAAAGAAACAATATTAAAAATTAAAAGTTAAAATTATTACAGTATTAAAAAATTATTGAAATTGTAGTTGTAATTTTATGATATGATATATTTTTATATTGTTCTTTTATTTTGTAAGCCGCCCCGAGTAGACATGGTCTAGAGGGGCAGGGTAAAAATCAAATAAATAAATAAAAAGAGTAAAATGCAAAAAGCAAAGTGTGCTGCTTATATACCGCCCCATAGTGCTTCAAGTACTCTCTGGGCGGTTTACAAGTTAATTATGCAGGCTACACATTGCCCCCCCCCAGCGAGCTGGGTACTCATTTTCCTGACCTCGGAAGGATGGAAGGCCGAGTCAACCTTGAGCCGCTACCTGGGATTGAACCCCAGGTCGTGAGCACAGTTTTGGCTGCAGTGCAGCAGTTTAACCACTGCGCCACAAGACTCTTCTTAGTAGATTAAAAGAGTACTAAAAGCACATTAAAAACAACAGAGCACAAACAATCTCACCATCTTAAAAAAGTCTGCTTAGCCACGCCTGCCTGAAGAGAAAGGTCTTTACTTGCCCCTTTTTCCCTAATGGATCCTTGGCAAGTTACAGTATTTTTTTAAAAAAGTTAAAAGCTAAATAATAAATTACAATATTTAAAAAGTTTAAAATATATTATATTAAAAACTCACAAATAAGAACAATAGTAAAAACACAAGAATAAAACAATCCCTTAAGAAAATCCCATTGGTCAGCCAGTCATTTAGAACAGTGGTCCCCAACCTTGGGCCTCCAGATGTTCTTGGACTTCAACCGCCAGAAATCCTGGCCAGCAGAGGTGGTAGTGAAGCTTCTGGGAGTTGTAGTCTAAGAACATCTGGAGGCGCAAGGTTGAAGACCACTGATTTAGAAGAAAGCCTGAGTAAGTTGCGGAAGGACAGCAAAGATGGGGCCAGCCTGGCCTCATGTGGGAGGGAGTTCCACAGCTTGGAAGCAGCAACAGAGAAGGCCCTCTCCTGTGTCCCCACCAAGTGCACCTGTCATTGTATTCATATTACGACTTGAGAATTGTTTGATAAAGCATCAAGACATATATTTGATAAAGAAATAAACATGCCAGCATGCTACATGTGCTGCCATATTTTGCTTTCCACTATGAGACTTCTGTTACTTTGTTTCTGAAAGGTTCTGCGACCCTTTCACCTCAAATCGAAATTAGTCTCACAGAGGACCTAGAAGAATAAGTCACAGTGAGATTTCTACACATCTGTTTCCTCAAAATGCTGACTTACTGTTAGCATACTGTGCCACAAGCCTGCATCCTTCTTGAAATCCAGGACATTCACTATGGTTTCACCTAGAAAAGAAAGATTAGTACTGAACTCAGAGGTTTAAAAATAAAACCCCAGTTACTGAATTAGAATTTCTTATATTGCCTCTGCATATACACATGAAAACTACAAGGCCAGTCCTCAAAGAGCATAGTAAACTTGGATATTGTCTTGTGCTGTCACGTCTTATAAATTTCATTAAGCCCCCATATCTCTCCTCCATTTTAAACAGACACCAAACATTCGTCAGCAGTAATGCCAATCATTTCTGTAATAAATTATGTACCAACAAAACGTTCTATATGCACATCTGAGAAGATCTGCACAAATAAAAGAGGGAAAAGAAAATAAAGATAATTATCTTGACCATAGTTATAAACAGCCTTTAGAACATAACTGGGCTGGGTATAAATTAATTATGACATTATAAAATTAAAGATAAAGTGATAAGACTGTAATTATAATCAGTGCTCTAACCTTTTTTTGCATCATACCCAGTGGGAAGTTGAACCATTGTGCCAAGTGCACTGGCCATTTAGGAAAATTACAGATACAGTTGGTGAAAAAAACGCCTATGTGTCCCAAATAAGAATAAACCAGAACACTTTTGCATGTGGTTGCTAGAGGTTATTTCACACTGTCGGACTCCTCCCTGGGACACCATCTTGAGGGATTATGTGGAGAAAAGCTAGAGTTAACTAAGCTCTACAATACATCAAAGAGAGGGCAGCCCTAAGGATGTGATTTTTGTCTTTTTAACACAAAGAATCTGAGTCCTTTTTGCCTTGCCCACCCTGATGGCTGTCTATCCAAGTGCTTGGTCACATGGAAGAATATTATGGGAGGCTGCAGACTACGCTGGCCTATAGAGTTTGCAAATGATCACTCTGATTCTATGGGTGAAGCCTATAGGAGTCGAGCACAGGGCACTGGGGCCACATTTCAAGTCGTCTGAGGGAAACTGTCTGCTAGGACACAGCCTGTCTCAGCACACAACACATCCAAGCAGGACAGCACTCACCTTCAGAGTAATTGCAGGCCTGTGACAAAGCCTGGCAATGAGACAGCATAGCGATTCGGGACACTGTTACACCCATCACACTCCCCTCCTTGCTGGTCTGTACTGGAAAAAAAAAGTACACCAATGACAGCAATATGCACACTGATTACTGTACATCAGAAATCAATGCGGCTTAATCTACATTAACTACATAAAAGGATGTATGCAGTAAGCTCTTTCCTGTTCACACACACAGAAAAGAGACTTATTGGACATAAAGGATGCAATATTTGTTAGCATGACGACAACACAAGTCTAAATTAATTGGCCATGTCACCCCTACACAAGCCTCATGGCACACTTGGTTAAACTGTAGTACTGCAGCCAAAACTCTGTCCACAACCCAGGTTCAATCCCAGGTAGCCAGCTTGAGGTTCACTTTAGGTTACCAGCTTTCCATCCTTTTGACATTGGAAAACTGAGTATCCAGCTTGCTGGGGGAGGGGGCAATGTGTAGCCTGCATAATTAAATTGTAAACTGGCCATAGAGTGCTTTAAGCACTGTGGGACAGGATATAAGAAGCACGCTTCTCTCTCTCTCTCTCTCTTTCTCTCTCTCTCTCTCTCTCTCCCCCCTCTCAAAGGACTATTAGAAATGGGTATGTATTCCACAATTTTTATCATATAAGGCACAGCCACTTCAAATGAGATTTCAAACTCTACAGTTTTTCCATAAAACACAGGCAAAAAGATCTGCAAGTCATAATTAAGAAAAATCCCTTTTATATTTACGTTCCCTTTGTCGGCTCTTCTCAAACAGAAGAACTTTACTGAAGATTAGTGCAGCCCACAAATTCGGACAGAAGATACACCCACTTCCATATCACAAAAGTCATTACAGCACCGCATGTATATTAACAAAACATCTCAACTATGATGGAAAGCTAGTGTGATGGGACATCCTATGTATATCAGCATCAGGTCTTCTAACACTGTAAAACAAGCTGGGTCAAAAGAGCAGCAATACTGTTGGAGAACTCTTGATTCCTCGTCCCAGAGAAACAGGCATCCACAATTTATAACTGCATCAATTTACCATCCCAAGGGGCTAATGAGCAATACTTAAAACAACACTTTACATTTACTCTTTTTAAAAAAGAGAACGTTATGAAGACATTGGCTGAAATCCTCTTTGTTTTCATGTAGGCTAAAGTTATGTCTTGGAAAGCCTGCCAGGCATTACACCCAGGCAGGCAGCCCAGATTGCACAATCTGATTGCACAATCAATCGCACAACGGTTTAACTTGTTGTGCGGCACCCACACAGAAGTGCTTTGTGAACAGCACTTCCACCCTTCCGTGATTTTTGGTATCGCTGCCGAAGGAGCTGTGCAACAAGGAATCCAGGTTTAAAGATATTATTACGCACATCAGCCAGTTGCCATGTGTTTTGTTTTGCCCATTCTCACTTCATAAATACCTCAATGTAGGCAGGCTCAGTTCCGGCATTTGAAATGTTGGGCTGCCAGTCCTTTGGTGTCTTGGAGAGGTACTTGGAATCTGTTACAACCCACTTGAGTTTTGGCCAACCTTGAACCAGAAAGGAAAAGGAGACTTTAGGTTACCGTTCTTTATGGTTGCATTCACATTGCAAATAATGGAATCTACCTTCCTCAAAGGAATCTCCTATCTGCTTTACAACCACAAATGCATTTTCCTTTCTTGTTTTTTTGTTGTTGTTTTTTTTTTTAGCAATGCCAGGTTTCAAATTCATGTAAAGCAGTGATTTGCATGTAATGGCCAGAATCTATAAATGATCTAAATTCAGGCTAGCACAGGAAAAAAGCTGTAGCTGCTTCACACAGGATGTTCCTCCTTTACAAGGACAGTTGCCATAGAAAAAACTAAAATTCACAAATGTTTATTTTGTGACATTTATCTGTTGTAGATACACTGCAAGGGTGGTTTCCAGATATTATGGTAAAAGAACCCAAAATGTGGTTTTTGTGCATTGCCCAGCCAGAGGCTACGGGTTTATGTGTGAAACTGTCATTCAGAAGCGGAGCCTTTGTTAACCCCACCCCACCCACCCTGAAATGAACCCACGGAGCAGTGCTACAACATCCTCCCACCAACTCATTCCCATTACAAAAAAGGATTAGGGGTGGTAGCCCCCCCCCAAAAAAAGTATGAAGTAGCAGAGTGCATATGTTGCATGTAATTTTAATCCAATTTTTAAAAACCCTCATTTTAATCCCTAGCAATCCCAATCAAAGGATCTCAGGTAGAAGGGCTACGAAAGACATTTGGCTCAATGCTTATGAAAGATCTGATTAGGCCAATCAGAACTGACAGTCAACTAAACGGGTGATCAAAGTCTTGCTATATCACACATGGTGACAACAACGAGCTCAGAGGTAAGCAACCTGGTACTATTCAGATATTTCGAACTGCAACTCCTGCAGTCCCTTACAATTAGCCCTCATTGCTTGGATATGTGAATGGCGTCAGGCTCCTAACCTTCAAGCCAGGTGTTAGACATCCTTAATCTATGAACAAGTTAACCTGCCGCAAATCAGAAACAGGACATTTAAACACATTTACTTCCAGTTACCCCTTATCACTTGCATTGCTATTATCTCTCATTCCCATTGTCTTCTGGATCTTGGAAATTCAGATGACTTCCAACCACAGTAGTGTGTGCACTAAGGGGCTGGTAAGTAAATCAAATAAATAAACAATCTACTTGATTCATGGCTTATCTTTTATATCTTTTGGGCTTAATCCTCTGTGGAAAAAGCAACAACACGATGTTATGTGATAACACTACAGAAGTCAAACACTGACCTTTGAACTGCACGATTTCGCCATTCTGTGTTTTGGGGAGCCCCTTTAGACAAACCTCCGTGGTGAGGGCTAATCCGATGCCACAGCTGCCCAGAAGAAAGCCAATCTGCTGGCCACCAGCATCCTGTGCGAACAGAAAGTAATTCCCATGAGCCACAGCCAGGAATGAACTTCCAGCTTTGCCCTTACAAATCCCCTAAGTGTTGTAATGCTTTGGTAGCATTATGGAGGGCAATAGAGTCATTCAGATCCATCCATCAGTTGTCTGAAATGCAAATAACAACAACCACAGGTGGGTCAGGGGGCAAGGTGAGGTTGACATCTCATAGAGCGTAAAGGCACAGTAGAGGAAAATGGGATGGGGGGGTGAGTGGTTGTCTTCTCTTTTTTTAAAGGACAAAAGGTTGGAGAAAACAAAGAATGTGGCAGGCCAGCACAACCTTCATTTGTGCTCAAAGGTTCATGGATCAGTTGCTTTTCACGAGGCGTGACAATATTCTAGTGTGATAGCTAGAGGTAAGAAGAGCAGACTTCTGTTTCCTTGAAAGGCAAAATTCCAATATAGATGAAAGTTGCAAAATTAACGTCTGCCTAAACCTCATGGTATTCACACAAAGCCAAGTGAACAACAAGAAAGTACACACTCCTGTATATACCCACTCTTATGTACACCTACCACACTCAAGTATAAATCTTCAAAACAGTGTATTGATATGAAATTGCCCCTCTTCTCTCAATTCTTGAATTCCAAAAGAAAATGTAATTTACTAGGGAGAAAAATGCTGGGATGAGTAGAACACCTGTCACAGGAGGGCATCTGCATTAGATTGGAACAATCTGATTTACTAAACAAATAAGCCAAGGGTAGGTGAAAGTTTTCTATTTTCACATATAGGTTGTCATGGCAGTTGTCATGCTGACACCACAAATCAAAGAGATGCCCCTAAGAAAGCCATATAGCGTTACCAGACTAGCTCATCCACCTCATTACCGTATCATCTCACACCAGGTTCTTGAAATGTATAATGAAAAAAAAAATAGAACTATCCATTCCTTTTAAATAATTTTTGCTTTTGTTGTACATGTCAGCACAGACTAACTCACCAGCTCTTTGAAACAGTATTCCTGTAACATGCTCTGTAGCTTTCACATGGCAAAGTCCTTATAATTATGATAAGGGTAGAAAGTACCCTTTATAAGATGCAAGCCCTTGGCAAACTGGTTTGCACACATGCTCTTAAGACCATGGTTTAGTGAGGCAAGGTGGAAGTGACCCAAGCAAGACCTGCGGGGTCACAAGTCTCACATTCTCCTCTCCTCTCATGTAATCTGAGAAGAAGAATTGAACAGGATGTCCAGGCTCTATGCCCATCCCCACAGCAATCATCCACGGTAGTATTAACCCAGTGAGAACCACCAGGACTTATTCTCCACAACACACAGAACGCATGCTGGCTAGAAAGGCCACACTGAAACCAATTTCTATTAGGATTCAGGTTACCTTTGACAGACACGATACACTTTCGGGAAGAGTGACAGTCGACACTCAAACATACATAACTATTGGAGATGGCGGTATTAATATTCGTATACGAATAACCCCGCACAGGTGCAGATAATGAAGGTCTGGCTCTGCGATCCCTTCCTATCACTCTGGACGCCTCAGGCTCTGCGATCCCTTCCTATCACTCTGGAGCTCAGGATGGATTAGCCATTCCTGGCAGAAGGTGGGATGATGATCCTCTCTGCCAAGTTGAAGAGTGTCTAATCCATTGCGAGCAATGGAGTGATAGCATCTAATCCATTGCGAGCAATGGAGTGATAGGAAGGGGTCACGGAGCCCGCAGCAGTGGCCAACAAGTGAGTGGTCAGTCTTGCCCCAGGGGGCCGGACTCTCATTATCTGTACCTGTGGGAGGATATTCGCATTTGTATACAACTACCCCATCTCTAATAACAATTTCAGTCACATTCCTATTCCTACAGTATATATTAACCTTTGCATATGACATGGGTATATTGTCTTGACACTGGTAGCTAAGAGCAGGAATGCATTGCCTACGTTCCACCTACTGTACTGAAAATCGTAATTTTATGAAAGCTAACTTTACCAAAGAAAGATAGAATTTCAGTATTTCATAGAATCAGGTGTTCTAGAAACATGGAAATGTTTGTGGTTTCTCAGCAAGGGAGGGCTCCACTGTCCCTCTACATTAGGATGGAGTTTACTAAAAAGCAAGTCAACTGTTCCTCTTTTTTCTAAATGAAGTTTTCAAAAAAAGGGGGGCAGATGCCCAGCTCTGGGGAGAATGAGTCCCATGATAAAGAACAATGGAACAATACTATACTTCTGCCTATTTCCTACTTCCATCTACAGTATGGAAGAGGTAGACACAAAAGGCAGTACCAGTCTGCCTGTGCAACAACTGTGTCAGGAAGGACTTCTGGAATGGTTCTTTTGCCAGCACAAGAGATTCAGCAGAGTAGCAACCAGGAACTACAGGGCTCTACCTGCACCCGACCAGCCTGATTTGCATCTCAGCCTATCGCTTGCTGACGCTCCACCAACATTACCTTTCGGGTTAGAGGTACCTCTATCGGCACTGGGATGACTTCCGCCAGCAAACAGCCATAGAAGGCCACCATGAACATGACAGGGTCATTGTTGGGATAAACAAGGGCTACCTGCGATTCACAGAAACAGTATGTTAGAGAAGGCGAAAGGAACAACATTTGAGTTTTGGCCATTACACTCAAAACAGCTCAGGCTGTTTAACTCAGCAAACGACATTATCAGTTCATCACCTGATTGCAATAGAACTCATGGGCTACAATTAAAAGAAGACGTTTTAGCATTTATCAGGGTGTGTGCACACAAATCCACCCATCCACTTACTCACATACGAACAGTCAATCAGCAAATCAAGACTCTCATTTACCACGGGGGAGGAGGTAACAGACTACTAAAGTTTCTTACTCTGTCACCCGGTTTCAACACAGGCTCATTTTTGGTACCCAGTTTGTTCAGCAATGTATAGGCCAGCTTCAGGCTTCTGCTCCATAGCTTCCCTGAAATGCAGGAAAAAAAGCAATCAGGCTTCACATACAGAGTGTTTGTTTATTTCTAGAAAATATTTATATCCCATATTCCAAGCCTGATCACTGAGGTAGCTTGGGGGGAAACCTGGTCTCTCTCACACAAACCCTTTTTTAAAAAAAAGCTATTTAAAAAAAAAGGAAAAACTAAGTAAAAAATTGAATCTTACTAAAACCCTGGGCAAAAACACAGTTAAACAATGACTAAATACCATCAAGAAGGATAGAAGTTTCCCACAAGTCATACGCCATAGCTCAAAACACCCTCTCCATGCAGAGGGCATAATGAATGGGGCAGCTGGAGTAACTATGCCATGTAAATGGTGATGATGTCATCAGCTGGCACCTTTTACATCAGAAAATCTCCCCCAGCAGTTGCAATCTGGTGATGATTTTCTGATTTTAAAGGCCCCCTTCCCTCCTTATCATGGGGCTCCCAAAGGTTTCCCCAGAACAACAGTTATGCCTAAGGAGCTTCGGATCCTGAAAGGGAGGAATAGGGCAGTTTAAATTAAATTAAATTAGAAGAAAGCTGAATGGCACCAGGTGATTATCTCATCCTATTTACATGGAACAGCCGCACCCACTGGATTTCAGCCATTGCCACTTCCTAACAGGACCCAGCAAGTACACAGGCAAGATGTGCAACATAGAGCCGGACCCACTTGGGAACTTAGAGGAGTTCCTGTGCCCAACAGGCCTATTCTGGTTTCTCACAATCCAAAAGAAAATCCTAAAGCTATGCAAAATGTCCCAAAGCAAACCTTCATCAATTGAGAGAAATACAAGAGATGGAGAACAACTGGGCTCTGCCAGTTCCTCTTATCCTGCACACATCAGTTTGGACTCTTGGGCTCCCCTATTTGGACACTCCTATATGCACCGCAAAGAGGAATTAATGTGGGATCAGCAAACGCTGCTTGTCTAAATGAGCTGGTATGCGACGAAGACAAAAGAACTTACCATATGTCAGGGTGTAGACAGGCTTTCCAGTGACATCCAGGGCTGTCAAACAGGGGCATTTTGCCTGCGTTGTCCCCCAGCGGTGCAGAGCTGCTTCTAATGCAGGAGGCCAATTGCAAACAACTCCCAAGGGCTCTCCCTTCATAGGGGTCATCTGGCGCCCCTCCGGCTTGGGCTGATTGGGGTCTGGCTGCGGAACTGCAAAGAACACATCACCAAGGCGAGCCTTAAAACCTTTCGCAAGACAGACGGCATGTCAACCCGAAGGGCTCTCAACAAATTCTGCACCTCTCTGAATTGCTGATAAAAAGGACTCCCTTGTTCTTCTCTACCCTTGGGAAAATGTTTCTTCTAGAAATCATGATTTCAAAAACCATTAAAAAAAACAAACAAAGCAATTTGAACATATTTGATGCTAAGGAAAGATGCCTCCGAGTATGAAATAAGAACACTATGTGCTTTCAAACACAGAAGCTGCTGAAGAAGGTGGAGCACAATCCTTAAATCATAAACAGCAACTGCCTAGGTAGCCCAGTGTCTTGAGCCAGCTCTAAGGGGAATAATCCAAATCTACTGCTTGTGTTTCGGTAGGGAACCGTTTAGGAACAGGAAAGCAAAGGTGCTCACAGGAATGATGTGATTAAACTCTTTGAGTTCTTGCTCTCCATTTTATTGGTGCCTTTCAGGGTCACATCACGTGGCAATGCAGAAATATGATGAATGAAGACATGGTACACCTTTTAGTAAGCAGGAAGTGCTACCACCTTTTCAAGAATTAAAAACACTGACAAACACAGCACAGAAATCCACAGTGGTCTATTCCATGTGCACAGTGCTATCGAAAAAGCAAGCAAGCAGGAATGGCTGGGGTCCACCCTTGGACTTTTCTATGCAGGGGGATAATCTGCAAGATCGTACTCACTTTCAACTCCATGCTGACCTGGACAAACCCATAAAAGGAAGCTACAAGTCGCATTTCCTATCAAAGCTTAACCTTTGCAAATAGCAGAATTGTAAAACCAAGCAACAGGGCTCTTAGACACATCAGGGTTTTCAAATAATAAAAAAGGAGCGGAGGGGGCCAACCCAACCCAGATACCTTCCACAATTTCTTCAAAATCATCGACAAAGAACTCCTTCAAAGGTGGCCGCTTGGGTCGCTTCAGAGTATTGAGCAGCTGCTGAATTTTCGTGGAGACTCTGCTACTTACAGGGACACCTGCAGTGTGGGAAATTAGTTCAGTTGACAAGGGACATGTCAAAGGTAAGCAAACTGTCACCCTATGAAGGGAAGTCACAATCTGTGTCTTTCTGGTGAACCAAAGTGTTGTATACCGAGGTGGAAGGGATCAAGCCCAAATGACTGACTCTTTAGGTGGCTATAGACAAAACACACATCAGCCCCAATCAGCAGAGCAGAAGCATGATGGGAGCTATAATCCAATACTATTTGGAAAGCCAGAAATTCCCAGTTCCTAGATTAAAGAATATATACTGAATACAGATGAGGAAACCAAGAGTCTCCGAAAGCACTATTGGTAATTGACTATTTTTTCTTTTCAAAGCAGGCGTTAATATTTGTATAATGCAGCCTACATGACATCCAGGTTCACCATTTTACACGTTGTCCCATCTATGTGGACTAGATAAGGTTATTTGTTTTTGCTAAGGGCAGCGAATGCAGGGTGTTTTGTTTGTCAAGTATATTCCCGGCTCCCATTCACAGCTAATGGCAACTCCTGGTTTGGTAAAGTCACAAGTTGTGCATGCCCGCCCAGTCTTCAGCCAAGGGGTGGTGATTTGACTGACAGGAAGGTAACATGTGTCAACTTGATTCCAACTTAGGGTGACCTTCTCCAGAGTTTTCCATGTAGAGAGACTACTCAGAAGTGGTCCCCATTTCCTTTCTTCTAGGGGCGCCCTGGGACTGTGCAGCTTGCCCAGGGCCACACAGGCTGGTGACACTGGAGGCACTGCTCGGAGTGTGGAACCAAGTTCCTAACCCTTAGCTGCTCAGTCAGGTACCTAAGTTACTCAGCTATCCAGTCATAATTAGACCACTAAAAATGACCCACATAAGCCAACTTTTAGCCCCGTACAAAAGCTAGCTTACATTTGTGATTTTTAGTGGCATAACAAAGTATCACCCACCCTTGCTTTCAGATTGTGTAAAAGGAGAATGCAGGTGTTCTGTTCTTTTTTTTCCTTTTTCTGTTGGGCATTGGCTGGGGGCTATTGTGCAAGAACTCTCTAAAGACCTGAACACCAGGGGGCGCTAGAAGAATTATGAGGACCTGGCATGTTTTCTCTTGAGTCAGGCAGTGTATCCTCAAGGTTATTCAAGCAGCAAAGTCACATACCCACCACAGCTGGGTGCTTTGCCAGCTGCACACGGGGAAAACTCTTAGCACAGCAGGTATTTACAAGGGACAAGTTGTAAACCTAACACACGTATCAATTATAGGGGTGTTTTACACCAAAAACAGTGTTCTCAAAAATGATGCAGAAGTCTCTATTTTACAAGGATGGGGAAAGCTCAGTACATGAGCACTGTCCAAAGCCATTTTTCCTCTACCTAAAACTGGCTTTAGGCATAGAAAAAATAAACCTAGTTGAAAAAGTCTTGTAAATTCTACATTAAACAACAACAACATTCTCTAAGCAAAACAGCCCAGCACAAATTGTTACACAGGCAGCATCCGCTAGTTCAAGGAAGCTTTGTTGCCAAGATGTGAAGTTACTTGTAGTTACTTTGGTGCAGAGACCACATGTTTGAAAACAGCAACAAAAGAAGATGTCTAGAACTGCCCTACACCAAGTCTAGATTCTCATTGACAAACCAAGAGGACCTGCGGGAGGCAGATGCTGGGAAAAGAAGGGGAAAGGGGGAGCCACAGTGTACATCCAAAATGCTTGTCTTAACAGACCTACTGGCCAAAATCTTATTACTCTTAGGCAATCACTTCTTAATCTATACTACTCTGAGATTGGCTCCCAAAGCCAGTGTTTAGCCACTAACAATGGATGAAATCCTGTTGCTTAATGCACTAGAGTAGGCCCACTGAATCAGTAGGGATCTGGTGAGTCAACTTCTCCATAAGTTCTCTTGGGCGCACACAAGTGCAGCTTATTCACACTAAGCCACAGGATTTCAGCCAGTATGAACGCTCTTTATATACTGCTCTATGGTTGAGTTGCACCATTACCCAAGGCAAAAGTGGGAAGCTCCTCACTGGGATACCCACAAATTTGACAGCCTCCGGAATCCCCATTCAGTCTTCAATCTTATCTCCTGAGAACAGCAACAGGAACTCGGTTCAATAGCACTGCGTACTCACTTCAGAAAGGCTGCCCTTTTTGCTTTTTCTGACAGGTTCAGTTTTTTCTAACACACCACACTTTTCACAGGGGCAAACTACGAAAGCATCACAAATCGTGGAACAGGAAAGGGAATGGCAGAAAGGTTTCTGGAGGCAGATGATCTTTCCAGCAATTTCCAGGACTCTCAAGGATAACACAGGAGAGGCTGGGCGTAGGATGAGATTGCAAAGAGGAACAGCCTCCCTTCTACTCATACATCAGGAGGCCAAGCCCTGGTGTGGCAGTGGAGACCCTCTCCGTTTACTGAACAGATGGGAGCAGTGCAGGATCCCAGGCATGAGCTCAGCTTCTCACCTTACTGAGAAAATGGGGAGAAAGCCCCTTCACTCTGTCCCAAGAGTTACTGTATATAATTATTTTTCTATGCAGATATTCACTCAAACACATGCTTCAGGCATAATCTTTTTGTCTTTCATGGAGCTATGTTTCGGGGAAACGGTAAAACCACATTCAGTATCATGTGTGAGGGATAACGCCGTGTCTTTTGCTCGAATGGCAATTGGAAGAAGAGAGGTGCATCCAGAAACCAACAACAAATGCAGCAGGAAAAGCCAGTAAAGTGCACTCCCTAATTTAATGCAAAACTCTTACCACATCTAATCATCATTAGAGTATCTGCTCAGTAATGAGACAGAAACCTATTCTTTTCTTATTTCATTTGAAACTTATTTATTCTCGTTTCCATTATTTTGAACATCTCCCCACACCAAACATATGATTACGTACCAGAGATTTCCAGTACATGATCTATAAAATAGTAATATATACTACTCCCTTGAACTGCACAGGCCAAACAACATGGTTTGGGTTGTATGCTGATTTTTAAAAATAAATAAATAAATATTCCAATCAATCAACAATCAATAAATAACTATTAAGTAAATGTTGTGCCCCTGGCCACACAGAACCCCATGAGTGCAACACAGAAGGCGTCAAAGTGGTCTGCTTGCCCCAAACACAACATATTTAATTCAGTCTCTAGATCAGGGGGGTTATAAGGACCTTGAAGGCTCATTAAGCATGGTACTGTATGAAAAGGATAGTCAACACTATAGAAGAAAACCCCAATAGAGAGAACTGTTTGTATACTCTGTGTGTGTGTCTATACAGTATATGTATGTGCATAAATCAACTGTTTATGCTTTGTAGCCATGTTTTTGGGGAGCACAAGAGTTATACACAGATTCTGAACTACAGTGGGGTCTTGACTTAAGAACGGCTTGAGTTAAGAACATTTTGACTTAAGAACCACTCTCATAGGAAAATATTGACTTGACTTACATACTTAGATTTGAGTTAAGAAC